GTCACTGAAATCTTATGGGTGGGCTTTCTTTCCTTGTGCTTTTAAAACTATGAACGAAACATGTGATAAGAACATTTCGATATATCTGTCACCATTAAGATGTTGTGATTCATTTTCAATGCTGTGGACTATTTGAAGTGTTCTGTATGTTTTGTTTTGATTTTCGCCCCCCTCCCTTGACAGAAATAAAATTAGGAATTCGCTACAATAAAAGTAAATGATAACATACAATATAAAAGATATTTATCTGGCCTCGATAAAAACTATTTTTTGTATTCACTGAAAATAAAGCATTTCAATGTAATAAAAATGTGTGTGGTTGTTTTACTTGTAATGTGCACGCAGTCAGATCTGCAAGTTTCTGTATAGTTGCAAAACCAAAGAGCCAATATGTAACTGAAATGCAGACTTTATATAGACTATATATATAGAGAGATGTGTATATATAGAGTGATAGATATAATAAAACTCCACAATTCATGGGAGCGTGCAGCTATATCCAGAGTGCATGAGTGATTGTTACACCATGCAGGGCTTCTGACTTCTAAAATTGCATATAATTTCCAATATTCTTGTAAATAAAAAGAAACTTTTAATACTTAGAATTAACCTCAACTGCTAAAACCTCACATTCGAAACATCTTTTTCGCTGGTATGCTGAAAGTGCAGCTTCCTGGAGACAACTGACACCAAAGTCTGTCCTCAGAAACGGTCCATTTGGGCTTTTAGTGAGGACAAAATTGAAAGAAACTACTGTAAAACATTTTGTAAAATGCACTGGATCTCTATTCTCTGACTGTTTAAAGGGAAGGTTCAGTAACAATAGAAACATTTGCATTATGAAACAAAAAAATATTTTTTGTGGGCTAAAGTTTGCTCTATTTCAATTGTAAAGTACAAGATTATTGTGAAAAGAAACTGAAGTACTGAAGTTACTCCAATTTGTCATATAGCTTGTTGATGGTTTATCTCTGAATATATCTGAGAACTCTGATCACACGTAGATCATTACTGGCTGTCAAGATTGCACTTCTACTCTGGCAAAACCCTCTGCCAATAATAATAATATTTATCTGGAACACACATTGAATCAAAGGCGTCATAAATTAAAATATCTTTAACCAAATTAGGTGAGAATAAGATCGTACGTGTACTTCTTGACTATTAATAATAATAATAATAATTTCTAATTTAAACATATCACGTTCAACTTTGACCACGCAGTGTTTAACATGTGTCAAGAACTCGTTTTAGTGTGTAGTTAAAATGCACTGAGGTTCAGTATCATGCTATATAAGGACTCTACCAGAAGTTTATTACCAGCATACTGTAAGACTTTTATGTTGAGATATCATATTTACAGAAAGCAGAATTTAACAGTCTGCTGATAATGTAGAACATCAGATTCATCATGTCTGTTGCATCCATGTGTGATGTTGGAGCTGCAGAATGTGAAACCACTCTAAGTGAATAACAAGAGGGGTAACTTCTGGCGAACAAACAAGGTCTCTTTAAGTGTCTGTGTCAGGACAAGTTGGTATTTCTGAGTCAGCACTAAACCTGACTCTATATTGAGTCTGGACTATAAAATGAAGCCTATGCTAAATTTGTCCAGCACTAAAATTTGAGGAGGCAAAGTCAATTGCAGTGACACAGCTGCTCCTGGCACTGTTTTAAAACCTGGAGTCCTTTTTTCCCTGATATTTTCTCACTAAATCAGCTTTTAAAGCAAATACCTCGTGTTTTTCTATCTGGCACAAATCTGAAACTGTGTAGCTGCGAAAACATTTCTGTTAACAGTGGGTCTGACTTGTAACAAGAGGCCCTGTTGGCTGCGGACAAGACAGCAAAAGCCCTGGCTGAAAGGACGAGGGCATTGCATTTAATGTGGACAAGCAGGTGATAGAAGACAGCTCATCCATTATTTTTATGTCCTAAATCTAATTATAATTGAAGTCAGCTACAGTTACTGATGACTACAGCATGCTATATAGCAAGTCTTGACGCTTCAGTTGTGCTCAATGTAAGATTACCCGTCGTTAGTTAGCGGTGCCTTGGGGACAAACGGCATCTTGATCTCCTTCTTCTCATCTGCTCTTTCATCCCATCTCTCTACATTCACTACCTCACGTTCACCTTTTCTTTTCAATAAAAAGATTAGGGTCAGATCAGCTGGTTTTTGTGGTGTTATTCCACCGATGCACTAAAATGGATTACCGTGATGAGAACGCTGCACACTCATACACACTCATTCATTTGCACGGCCTCACATGTGAATCTGTCTAAACCCTTTTGATGAGCTTCATTAAGTTTGTCTCACCAGGTTTAAGTGAAACGCCAGCAGTATGTGTGGGTATCTTTTAATTATTGAGGAGGAAGTGAGAAATTCCAGTCTGGACATTCACAGTGATATCATCACCAGACTCCCATATTTTATTATTTTTGTTTGTCAGGGAGCTCCTTACACAGCCGTCTCAACAGATCTGTGACGAAGTTTATATTTGTGATCTGACACCAAACTGTAAAAACACTGCTGAATACCTTTGACGTTACAAAAGTACATAAATAAAAGAAGTCAATTACAAGATGGCGCATAAGCCCGGCTGATCTTTCAATCATAGTGCGTTTAGATTTATGAGCGCCTCGCAACAGCAAACAGGTCTTAAGCAATCACCACTTAATGAAATGAAATTGCAGCATTTAAAGTTCACGTGCGGCTCTTCACAGGACTGCGACATAATGGTAACAAGGCCATGCACTTCTTTGCATGTAGGGACTTCTGGAAACACTGAGGTTTGATTCAGTTATCACACCTGTCTGCCTTAAAGCTTTAACAGGTTTGACAGCACTCATTTAATATATAATTTAACTACCGGTAGTGACATTTTTTTAAAAGTCTTCTTTGAACTGAAACTTTTCGGATTAATTATCTATGTGTGTCCTGGACCCAGACAGGAACCATTAACTGAGCATGCATCTTTTAGTGCATACCCATGCATACATGACAGAATGTACAAACCCCCACACAGAAGGTTCAAACCCAGGAACCTCTTGCTGTGAGGGAGTAGTGCTAAACACCGAGCCATGGTGCTGCTAATTTTAGGTCTGGTGGTAAAAACAAAAGGTCAAAAGGACCCAAATGATTAAGAAAATGATCACTTTGGCTGATAGCAAAATGGCTGAAAATGTTGTCTGTGTATCAAGGCCATGGAGGAAAATAGCTATATTTGCTAAAATCAGAAGAAATAAAAAATACATCATTCTTAATTATCAAATTAATACATTTCTGTCTCATGATTCAAATCCCCTTAACCTAACCTGAAGAAATCATTATTTGTTGGACAGGTACAATGTGACGATGTTCATCTCTCTATCTATCCAGGGTGCTAGGGTGACATGGATTGCACCCTGAGCCTCTCTGATCTCTGTGTATGACTGGTATGCCTGCCTGGCTGCTGAACTGTCCACAAACACATGGCAGAATGACAACACAGTGACAGCTGACTGCCTTAATAAAGCTGCACAGGAAGGATTTCAGGCCAGATCACCAACAAAATAAAATGCAAAGGTACATCACAGAGATAAAGGGAGAGAATTAAAAACATCAAGATTTTACCATAATTATTTAATGATCTTGTAATCTCTTCTTTAAGCGTGTGAACTAACAATCATTCACATAATAAAATTGTGGTTTATCAAATACAGTATCAGTGAATCATTTGGTGAGCTTGTGCTTTGCTTGTTTAAAACGTGTTTGATGCCTCTCTTCTGAAAGTCAGACTGTAAAGAGTATGGGGTCATGGACAGAGTCCAGCAGGTGCTGTCCAAGCACCAAGATTCCAAAATATGCACTCAACAAATAGCATAAGGGACAAGGGGAGTAGGAGATGACAAAATATTCTTAGAATGCTTTGTTATTTGTTACGATGTAAGACGAGGTCAATGATGTTCATACAGTATTACACAACTTTCTTTTTCGGGTCCAGTTCTTCTTACATGCAAATAATCAATCACTGTAGTCAACAGTAGGTTAAAATATCATTCCTCAACCGTCCTAACTGTATGTTGTGTGTGACAGCTGCAGCAGTGCCAGTGGCTGTGTGAACTCTCACTAAGGTGCAGGGAGGGGGTGATGTTGAAATTCCAGAGCTTCTGTATGTGCACACCACTGTACCCACTGTGGCAAATCTGAGCTGGAATTATCTTGCATGTATTAGCTCAGAGAAGAGTTGGACAGGCTTGATGATAGAACTCTACCGAAAGCAAAGCCTATCTGGTTGCTACTTGGATGTTGAACTATGTTGTAAGGGAGCTGCTGAAATGATCCCTGAGCAGCAAACAAGCCATACTGGCTAATATGACAGCCCTCCAGGGGAGAAAAACTTTCGCAGGGGCTTAACCAATCAGATATATTTGTTTTGTGGGAATAGCTTTGATGCAAGAACTGGTACCATAATTCTTTAAGTGTTTATTTCTGGATACAGAACAAAATGTTTGATTAAGTAAGCAAGTAAGCAAAATTTATTTATATAGCAAATTTTAAGGCAAAACAACCAAAAAGTGCTTTGGAAAGGTATTAAAAAGGTTTGGTGGATGCAGTTTGGCTCTGTTGTGTAAAAAGTAGGTTTTAAAATAATTATAGGATAAACGTCAGTTGATGTCTTAAATGTACATTTTCTCACATGTATTGTAGTTTGTGGCTTATCCTTCTGGGTGCTAACTCAGTCGTCATTACCAACGCATTTATTCCAAATAACCCCCCTCAGAGAACTACTCTTTGAGTCCTGACACTTTACTTCCACTTGGAAGGTGTTAGAAACAGGAGTGGACGTCTTGCTGTGAGAGGGTAGTGCCTTCCTGACGTCTGTACCCCATGTATAGTCATAGAAGTGGTCAAATGTCTCGGAAGAGCGAATCAGTGAAGAGATTTAGGAAAAAAAGAAGGGTCTCCACGTTGGCAAGCAGCTGTAGTTCATTCCAAAACTGTATTCAGTATCCAGTAACTGCCCAGCCAAAATACATATTTGACTCACTACAGACTAACCGAGCTCGCACTCCAGCTTGGCGTTCAGAGTGGTTCAGACGCTCCGATCCCTTCATTCAGTTTCTTTTGTTTGGTTTACGCAGAGATCGCTGACACTAACCAGCCATGGATGCCATCAAGAAGAAGATGCAGATGCTCAAGCTCGACAAGGAGAATGCCTTGGACAGAGCTGAGCAGGCCGAGTCAGATAAGAAAGCATCTGAGGACAGAAGCAAACAGGTCGGCATCCAGTGTGAAACTCGCTCTGATGCTTTTACGCAGCAGTGCCATTGGCACGTTGCGCAAGGCGCTGCATGATTCTTTCCGATGATCTCCCACTGAGGATTATTATTTGATTTAAAAAAAATCACTTTTAAATAATAACCTTAAAAATAGCTTTTCTTTTAGCGTTTCTTTACTCCATATGTTGACTGCATGAGGTTGGCACGATTGGAAACTGCACATTTCTAGTTGGATCCTTTATTCATTAGTTATGCTGTTAAGCAATGAGATAAATATTAATTTCAAGGGCGACCTTGGCTCAGGGGGTTGGGAATCGCATCTGTAACCGGAAGGTCCCTGGGCTCTCTGTCCTGGTCGTTGTGTCCTTGGGCAAGACACTTTACCCTATCGGCCAGAGGGGCCGATGGCGCGATATGGCAGCCTCGCTTCTGTCAGTCTGCCCCAGGGCAGCTGTGGCTACAACTGTAGCTTGCCTCCACCAGTGTATGAATGTGAGAGTGAATGAATAGTGTTATTGTAAAGCGCTTCGGGTGCCTTGAAAAGCGCTATATAAATCCAATCCATTATCATTTAAGAAATCCTTAAATAATAGTAATTAATAGAATTAATAGAAATAATAGTCTTTTAATAGAAATTCATTCGTTTAGTAACAAATATATATGTGTGTGTCCCTTTTTTAATTAATAAAAGTTTTGATTCCGCGTTGTTTGTGTTGAGAATTAATCTGAGAAAATCATCCTCACGTAAATAAAAATCTTCTCGTTTCTCTGCGTACCAGCTTGAAGATGACCTGGTAGCACTGCAGAAGAAGCTGAAGGCAACTGAGGATGAGTTGGACAAATACTCTGAAGCCCTGAAGGAGGCCCAGGAGAAATTGGAGCTCGCAGAGAAGAAAGCCACAGATGTGAGTTTGGGCCGAAGGAACCCATTTGGCGCACCCACTGCCTAATGATATGACTGATACACTCCTTTTGAGTCCCGTCTGGAAACTAAGATCACCAGCCATGAAACAGACACCCTAATGCTTAAGTTATGCATTAATCAATTATAAGAGAGTTGTGGGCTTCATAAGAATATATGGATAGTTAAATTTAGCTTTTGTGCTGTATAAGGTAAAGTCACAGCTCACTGGCTTACCGTTGCGTTCCACCACCATTTGGACGAATCTGAGGGCCAGTGTCTGATTTCAGTCGTGTATTTTACAAGCATATTATGAAGTGCATTTTGACAGATTTGTGGCCCTGTTGGCCACAGAACGTACTCCGCGGTTATACTCAACCCAGATGAAATTACCAGTTTATTGGCAGCGTTCATTCTTACGCCAATAAAGCCTAATTGATGACGTCAGAAGCAGAGACGACGTCAGCAGCAGCAACAAAATTTTTAACATCCGTGAGATAGACTCATGTTGACTGATTTAATGACAGAGTATAAACATAGCAATATATTTGAATATTATAGACTACAATAGAGCATGGGTGTCTTCTGTGCTCTTTAAGCCAGTTTAGTGCAGGAAGACAAGTTCTGCAGGTCTAATGAGCACAATTATGAATATCGAGAACATTAATAACACTGTCCGAATAATTAAACTTATAATGTGTGTATTATGTGTGTATAAGTGATTTAAGGCACTCTCTTGCTGTCTTTAGATTAAGTTGATGTTTGGAACTGTGATTTTGAAAGGCTTAGCTCAAATTAGCAGTAGGGGACGCACTTAAACTAACTGGTTCATAATGTAGTTTTGTCGTAGCCAAAAAGCATTAAAATGGCTTGATAAATATTTTAAAAGACCATTACTAATAATTATGATCCACATATTCAGTTCACTAAATTTATTAAACTATTTTCGAGTAAAATGAGTTACTTCCGGGGTTGGTGGCACGTCCCAATCCTCATCAGCGGTTGATTAAAGGCGGTGGGGGCAGGGATCAAACGCGCCGCATCTCCAAGTGTGCTTGTGTCTGCGTGTGGGGAAGCACGCAAAAAACGGAGAGAAAACTAGCTTAGCTGAGACAAACAGAGCAAAAAAATGGCCGGTGGGAGCTCCCTGGAAGCGGTGAAAAAGAAAATCAAGTCATTGCAGGAGCAGGCCGATGCGGCGGAGGACCGGGCGGCGTTACTACAGCGGGACCTGAACCAGGAGAGGAGTGCGAGGGAAGCAGTAAGCGGCTAATGACTCTATAAGGCAATTAGTCCCCGGGGAGCCCAGAGCATTAGGAGTAAATCTGGTCAAAAAGCATGGTTGCTAAGTAGGCCCAGACCGCCTCGGTATATGGTCGAAAACAGGTAGCAGGTTGGCGAGTTTGAAATTAGCCCACCGATGGATGTGAGTAAGGGATGGGTGGATGCGAAAGGACTCCACCCGGTAGATCCCGAATAAACAAAACGGTCCTTTTCAAGTAAGCTAACGGCACAGCAGCCCCGCAACACCGCAGGTCCAATGAGATAAAGCCCTCCCTTGTGTGACTGGCTAGTTTAGGCACAGGGACCTCCATTTATCCACCTTGCGACATAACAAAACGTAGCCTTTTAGCTAATTTGTTTAAGACTAAATCACAGCGAGCCACGAAATTACAGGTTTGGCTGGGAAAACGCCAGAGAGGGTGGATAAGTTTGTCTCCTTTAAGAAATCCTGTTGTATTCTAACCAAAAAAAAGGTTAGAATAAAATGTGTTAGAAAAAGAGAAATGACGCACACTCTTTAACTGGTGTTGGAAAATGTACATAAACAACCTGCATCCCTCTATTGGACAAGCTGACCCAGGCCAATCTCTCCAGGGAGAGCATGAGTTATTTTATCTGCCTAAGATCTCACAGCAGCTGAAAGCCTGCAGAGCCAAACATAACACACGAATTTCAGTTAAATGAATAAACTTGTTGTGCCTGTAGATGACTGGTGTTGTGCTCTCCTAGGCTGAGGGTGATGTAGCTTCCCTGAACAGACGTATCCAGCTGGTTGAGGAGGAGTTGGACCGTGCTCAGGAGCGTCTGGCCACAGCTCTGACCAAGCTGGAGGAGGCTGAGAAGGCTGCTGATGAGAGCGAGAGGTGGGTATTTTGCATCTGGAAAACTGGCACTAAATGGGCACCGCTCTCCCACCCCTCTTATATTATTCATACTCATTTGCAGAGTACTGTAATGGAAAAAGGGTGACAAAGAAGGGTTAAGACAAGCTCGGAAAAGAAAATCCTGCGTTGAGTCTCTTGTTGCTAACTTTTAAAAGGCAAGGCAAGTTTATTTATATAGCACAATTCAACAGCAAGGTGATTCAAAGTGCTTTACAGAGACATTAAAAAACAGAAAGCATGATTTAAACTGGAAAAAAGAGGAAGGAAAGGTAAATAAAATCAGTAGTTAAAATGTAAGTTTTGAAATTTAAGCTTAAAAGTTAAACAGTGTGGATTTGGTGCTTTATTCAAATGCAGCTGAGAACAGGTGAGTTAAAAGCATTAAACATAAATGGAAATTTAAGTTCTATGAAGCGCTTTAATACTGGATTTTGCTCAACTTTATTATATTATAAAACCAAACATTTGCACATGACACATGCTCTTTGAGTGTCACTTAAGATTGGGCTCACTGCTGCCACCGGTGGCTTGAAGTTGTATTGTATCACTCTTCACAAATGTGCAGGTATTTAAATAATTGCATTTAATTTAATTGTTGCTTTGTGTAATATTATAATATTGAGATGGTTACTGTTTCTTTATGATCGAAAATGCATAGCTCCTGATCAGTGGCTAATCCACACCTGTGGAAATTTAATAGAACGTTATTCCGGTTCATGCCCATGATTTTGTGTTGTGCTTCATTTGGTATTCAATTCATCCTTATCCTCTCAGACAGTTGCCATGTGCTTGGCAGAACATGACAGATGAGGATGTGTGTTAAGTATTTAGACACTTTGTCCATATAGTCATGTAGTGGTCTCTCTCTCTCTCTAATTTTATCTCTACTTCACTAATACAAGGTATTGGTATGATCCATATGCTTTGCACTAAATGTTTCTTTTAAGAGTGGAATTTCCTGTTCCTCTATGACGCATAGTGTAAACATTACTAAGGCTCACCTTATACCACTTCCCTTCCCTCAGAGGCATGAAGGTCATTGAGAACAGGGCAATGAAGGACGAGGAGAAGATGGAGCTGCAGGAGATCCAGCTGAAGGAGGCCAAACACATCGCTGAGGAGGCTGACCGCAAATATGAGGAGGCGAGTTTCTCAGCTCTTCAGTGCACCCTGAACTTTGACAATTGTTCAGTTATTTACTTTGATGCAATGCTTGACATGTCTGACCAGTATAGGATGCACTAATGTGTTAAGCTAGTGTGGGACTAAACTTAAGGAGTTGTGACTTCAGGTTGCCCGTAAGCTGGTGATCATTGAGGGTGACTTGGAACGTACAGAAGAGCGTGCTGAGCTGTCTGAGAGGTAATGATCACATTTTCCTCACACCTCTCTTGCTTTCTGTGGTTTTTCTCTACGTGTTTAATCACACCATAACTCTGCAGCAAATGCTCTGAGCTTGAGGAGGAGCTGAAAACTGTGCAGAACAACCTGAAGTCTCTGGAGGCCCAGGCAGAAAAGGTAAGATTATTGACAAATATTCATAGTATAAACCTATAAAGTTTGTTTGAAACTTATTTTTGTTGCATTTTCATGTTTTGTATATTTGAGTGACTCTGCCCTGTGTATGTAACCACAGTACTCACAGAAGGAGGACAAGTACGAGGAGGAGATCAAGGTCCTGACAGACAAGCTAAAGGAGGTGAGTTAGAGTTATCAGTGAGTCATACGTTTATGTATCCTAAATTAAATTTTAAATAGACGCTTCTCTTGAAACTGAAGATTGAATCGATTGCATTACTTAATTGAATAAATATGCTGTGTGTGTATATATTTTTTACTCATACTTAAGGGCTTCCTTTCCTCTGGGGCTGTGGTTATTAATTTCCATTAGGAGGTTTACATTACCAATGTTTTATTGCTGTCCTCCACATAGGCTGAGACCCGTGCCGAGTTCGCTGAGAGATCAGTTGCCAAGCTGGAGAAGACCATTGATGACCTTGAGGGTATGAATGTTTTACACTTGGTTTTTAGTCTTTGGTGCAGCGTTTCATGTTCATTTTCCATATAAGCAAACATCTGTTACTCTTATTACAAAATTTATTGATGCAAAAAGAAACCCAGTGACAAGTCTTCGTCTAAAGTAGAGTCCTGGTTTCTGAAAGGGAAACTAATAAAAGGCAAATCTCTCATGTGGGGCTGTTTGAGGTATTTATCTGGTCAGCAGGTTGTTAAATAATCCCCAGGACAAATATCTACACTGTCAGTTGTCTGCCAGAAGAAAAACAAAACTAATAAGCAGAACCTGCCATGATATGATTCATGTTAGCATCAACATTTCTCACTGCAGTACAGTTTGGCATGGTGGTGTATTGAGCGTTCAAGGCCAGCTAGCCCCGAGAAGTGTTCACAGGGTCACGGAACATGTGAGGCAGTTTCTCGGTGACTCCTCAGGAATTTGACACGGTGTCAGCAGCTGTTCATGTTCCTTCCTATTTCTGTCCTGCCTTTTTATTTCAGTTCCTCAGTTTGCATTTTCTTTTGGCTTTCATTTCTTGACGCTGTTATTTTTCTGTTCACTGCCCCCTCACTGCCACTCTATAATAATTACAACTCTATAGATGAGCTGTATGCCCAGAAACTGAAGTACAAGGCCATCAGCGAGGAGCTGGACCACGCCCTCAACGACATGACTTCCATGTAATTCACAACACGCTTGTTTCCGTACTGTCTTAGAGCTTTATCTCCTTAACCACAGCAACAACATACAGTAGCGCCCTCTTGTGGCATGTTTGAGTGCCGTGACTTAACTTTCCTAAACTACAACTTTAAATCCTTCCGTGCTTGTCTAACACTAATTTATGAGTGACCTAATCATGTTTGATTTCTTTAAAAAAAAAAAAAAAATATTTTAATACAATTTTTTTTGCAGACCTTTTAACATGAGTGCTTACTTAGTAGAGCTTGTTCCCTGTCTCAGTTCTCTTAGTTCTGCATCCATTTTTCTCTCTCATGTCATATGTTTTCATTCTTTTATTTCTCCCTCCAACATTTTTGTTCTTTTGTTTTTGTTCACAGCTAAATTCTCACACTCTTCACTCCAGAAGCTGCTTGAGCATCATCCTTTCTCTCCTGTGCAGCACAGCCCTACTTTCTGTCTCCTTTGTCTATTTATTTCTTTACTGCCCTGGCAGTACTGCACATTGGGCCTTGGCTGCTGGAGTACATTTGTCCATCTGTCTTTCAGACCTTTGAGCCACATTGCTTTATATAAAATAAACATTTTTCCATCTATGTCATCCTTTTCTTTTTCTCTCGCAATGCTTCTTCATTTCCATTTGTCCTTTTTTGTTATTGTTTTACCTTCTTTGTGTTTTTTAATTTATACTGTTTAGTAGCTTTTGAATAAACTCCTGAGTTACTTGTAGTGGCAGTGAATTGTATTCAATTTTTTAATCAGCTGATTGGGGATTTTATATCTTTAGTTATATTTTATTGTTTTTAAGGCTTCCTCACACCTTCAGATTCAGCTGTAGTTAAATGCAGTTGATGTACTTTAGAAATAGCAAGTTAACATTTTCAATACTCATTGAGTGTTTGCAGATGTGAACGTAGCCAAAAAAATAAAACCAAAAAATAAACACTCCTCATATTGTAGGTCTAAATAGCAAATCAACTAGACTCCAAGCCAGTATTGGCAGACATGGTCACTAAAACTACTACTATAGATTTTTTTATTTTATTTATTTATTTTTAATTCTTTAATTTAAAGAATGCTAATACAGTCACAGGGGCTATTGCAGAGAAATGCGACTGTAAATTATAAACAATTGAGTAGGATAAGATTTGTTTAGTTTCACTTGCTAAATTAAATCTATTGAAACTCAAATGGGATTGACCACAAAATTGTAAGGCTGTTTGGGGTGGCCCAAATGTCTTATGTCATAGTCACAGTAGTTCACATGAACTAATTGCATGCAGATCGAACCTCATAGATTTAAAGTAGAAATAGAAAATTCCCCACAAATGGTGACATAGTTGCTACAGAATGGCAATTTAACTGTAGAATTACATGCTCTGCAATGTTCCCTTTATATAGGAATATACACAGAGTTCAACTAGGTGCCAACCGGTTGAGTCAAGTCCACTGCTTCAATGAGTTGACATTGTTGCGCAGATAAGATGTGTTCATTGGTACAGGCTGCACAAACTGTCTGCAGTCAGAGTTGGACCAGGTTAACTCCCATCAGGTGACCTCTGCAGTTCTCTGGTGATTGAAAGTGGCTGCTGCAGCTAGATGCAAAAAGATCCAGTACAAACATGTGCATCATCATTATTTTTCTATTTGTGAGTGTGTGTTGTTTTGTCCCTAACTAATCCCAAGGTGGTTGCAGTCTTATCATTCTAGTCTAAGTAATTAATAAGCAGTGAAAAGGAAACAGTGTTTGTAAAACCAGTAGTGTGTGTGTGTGTGAGTTTTCTGTGGTTAGCCAAGATGGCAGGCTTATGACTGTCTTTAAAAAAACAAAAACATATTTCTTGAGCCTTCTGTGTTCATTAGGTCAGGAAATCAACAAACTTATTTTGTGATTACCTTCAAAGCGTCACTCTTTATACTAACCTCCTTTCTTTGTCTTTCCTTTTTCTCCTACCTGCTTTCTGACTGTCAAGACCACCTATACAAGCAGCTTGAGAAAAATCGTCTTCTCACCAATGAACTGAGAGTAGCTCTAAACGAGGCATAAACTGGAAGGGAATCTTGTATGCTTTAATGTTTCTGAAATTCCAGTCACCAGGAATGTTGTTGTACTGTTTATTTAAGTAACTATACACAGCAGCAGTTATGTCTTAAAAACAAAACAAGTTACGCTTTCAAAAAAGTGGGAATACAAGTGAGAGATTTTCACATGCATGTTCCAATAACTGCTTCAAGTGGAAGGTTACACAGGTTCAGGAGAGGGACGAAATTCAGTTGATATATTTTCTCAGTTATTGTCAGGGCTACATAATTGAAATCTGGTCTGCAATATGTGCTTCTATCCATGAAAAGGAGGCCTTGGAATATTGCAATGGACTGAACAAATATCATCACTTTTAAAATTACTTGGATTATACCCAGATTTTCCTTTTTGTACTTGGGTGAGATGGGTGGTTGGACAGGTGTGTAGTTTTTACTTGTAGCATTTCAGCGAAGCATTCACATTTTAATTATGAATTGCAATAATTTAATAAATTCAATTATGTAGCACTAGTTTACAGCAGCAGTCACCTAAAGCACTAAATATTATAATGTAAAGGCCCTGAAGATTAGAGGGAAACCCCAACAATCAAACAATTCCCTTTGAGGAAGCACTCTGTGACAATAGGGAAAAGGAACTGTCTTTTAACAGGGAGATCTTGGGGAGGATGGCAGCATACTGTGATTGGTTGGGGTGTGAGGAGAAAGATGACTAAACGCACCAAGAGAGACTAGATGGAAAAATAATGGTATACAATAGTGGCATGTAAATGCATCAGGGGTGAAGAGGGAAGTGAAGAAATCCTGAGTGCGTCATTGGACGTCCTCCAGCAGCCTTAACTTGTAGCAGTATAAATAACTAAAGCTTTATTCAAAATAATTTTGTTTTTCAAATGTAATCTTAAAAGTAAAGAGTTTTTTTCCCAAACTTCAACTGGGAGCTCATTTGATAGGAGAGGAGCCAGATATCTGAAGGCTCTGTCTCCCATTCTACTTTTAGAAATTCTAGGAACAACAAGTAAGCCTGCAGTCTGAGAGCGAAGTGCTTTGTTGGGAACTGTTCCCACAAACCTCATAGTTATCTGTAGAGATGTCTGCCTTCTCCAAGAATATAATAAAACTACATGGTGCTCACCTTGCGATGCTAAAAGTGCCAAATAATTGGGTTGTGACTTCAGGAAAGAAACATTCCAGCTGAATTTTTCCCAATGTTTATTTTGGGGCACTTTAAGCATCACAAGGCAAGATGTTGCTTGCCTTGTGATGCTTAAAGCAAGGCAAGCAACATTTAGTTTCATTATATATCCTCAGGACATAGCAGCTTAAGCCAAAACAGTGTAGCTGGATAAAGAGAACTTCAAAGAAAAGGTGTGCAGTTTTATTTAGCGGCGAACTGTTTGTTAATCGTAGCACAGGAGGAGATTGATCATATGATTCACCTGTAGCAACAAGGAAGTGTTGGCGGTAAGGAAGATGTGAATAACAGATTGCACAGTACCCCTGTATGATCTGTCAGTAATTTGTCTAAGTGAATGGGGAAGAAAAAAGGACGTGGAGTGTGCATATACAATAAAAGTAAAGTGATACTGGTCCAATAGTAAAAGAAGACAATTATTAGTGCTTAGAAGAGTTTTCAGTTTTTTCCTCAAAAGTGCTAGGGTTTTATACTTTGGTCAATTCCACTGCCAAATCATATATTACAAAAAAGGAAAGCTTTTTTCCCCCCCTTGCATAAACTCACCACGTCCATTCTTGACCACAGCCCTGTCAATAGTGTGAGTTTTTACTATTTCTAGTATACTTTAAATAAAAGTTCAAATCTGATTAGTTATATCAGAAAATCTAAATAACTTGAGGATATCGACTCCGCTAATAAGTGCTGACCTCTTACTGGAAAAAAATATATATACTGGGGTATGTAACGATATCCAGCATATGTTTGTCACTGTACCTGAGGTAAACCTTTGTCTGACTATATTCTGTGTATCTTGCAACTGTTTTTCTTTCTTTTTTTGGATTATAACTGATGCAATGCTATATTAACAGATAAACTCACACGTGCTAAAGAAGAGGGCCTGAGCATAAAGCAGATGCTGGATCATACTCTAATGGAGATGGTTAACCTTTGACCTAGCTCTGTTCCCCTCCTCACATTGCCTCATCTGCTCTGAATATGGCTGGCTCCCATATGACTGACTGCTACACGCAAAGCTGGAGCTTGTGTTTGTCTCCTCTGACCGTGGCATCTTGAAGACACAAGCTCTGCGCAAGTTAGAAGCTCATCTACAGTTTCCTTTACGCACTGTAGTCAAAGGTCATTTAAAGTTTACTGTACATCTTTAATTGTTTACATGTACGTGTGGGGAATTTGCACTTTTTTGGGGAATATACTGCACATGATCGTCATGAATGAAGCCATAATTTAAGCCAAGGTTATGAAAGGGACTTTTATTATGTGTACTTTTGTAAAGTTGCTTATGTGTTAGTTTCTTTTTGTATTGTAAAAATGTATTCACTGTCAGTGATATTCTCTTCCAGTTTAGCAAGGAAGGAATTCTTAGCACAGTAGCGAAACTCATTATATTGTTTCAACTAAGCAAACTAAATACTTGTGGCGTACTTATCTATGTAGGTGTTTTCTTTTTGAAACACTCATTTTTGTTTTTTATCTTGGAGATGTACAAATCATAAATAAATATGCGAATCAACCTGGCTGTTGCAATTGTTAATTGTTCTTGGAAGAAAGAAGCTTGAGTTTCCCCCAAGACCTTGACTGCCTGCTTCCAAGGAGTCAAGGTCTTGGGGAGTGATGAATCCTCAGAACCTGGACTTGAACATTATTGAAGAAGTGTGGGATCATCAAGAAACCTGGAGAACTCTGAAAACCACTTCAAGAAAGTTTACATATAAGAGTTCAGGCTGTTTCTCATTTTCCTAGCAAAATTTAAAGAAATAAAGGGTTACTCAAGAAATTTGCATAGTAGTGTTAAGAAAAAAAAAGTTTTCTTGATGCCATCTCAACATGCAAAGACAAACACAAGATTAAACTTTTCTAGCTTGGGGGGAAAAAGGCAACTGGACCTCCCTAAACTTGTTGTTACAGCTCTCATCCAAAGGCATATGGGTCTAGAGATGAAAATGCCCGAATTGTACCTTTAATAAAAATAAATTAAATCATCTTTATCATCCAATTATTTAAGGTTTGATTATGTGTTGGATCAACATGCCTGTGGGGGTGCCTTAACTGCTATAGTTCCTCCTCGCCGCAGGGAGGCGCCAATAAACAGGCTATCCCTCTACAGCGGTGGGAGTGCAGGGGTCGAAGTTCGTAGTTGGAGTCTGTGTTGTGAGTCTCACGACTACTACAGAGCGAAACATGAGCGAGAACTCAGATTTTGTTGATTTTTTTCCGGATTCTAAGGCTGAGTACGTACTCAGCAATGTTGCGGAAGTGGTGGAGAGGATTCTTACGTTCATACCAACCAAATCGCTTCTCCAGCTCGCGAGGTAGGTGGCTGATCTTTGTACGCATCACTGTGAGCTAACGCTAATGGCCGCCGATAGAAGTGAAACTCCGACGCAAAAACTTACGGAAGAGCTAAAGCAGCAGCTAGCCTAGCGGTTGTTATTGTCTGTTGGACTCTAAACAAGGGCTTGCTTTCAGCTACTCTGCCTGGATATAAAGACGAGCTCAGTCTTTCTTTTCTTTTTTTTAACTAAGCGATTGTGCCTGGTCAGCAAGTGAGACAGAGTTTATCTTTTACCCTTTCAGTGTGTGCAGACTCTGGAGAAACTGTGCTCGCAGAGTGCTTAGGACTCAGCAACAGCTGACCTGGGTGTCGGCCTCTGGACATCCCAGCACGGAGTCCCATGCCCTCAATAGCATCTTGGCCGAAGAAGTGGAGGTAAAACTCTCATAGAATGGTATTTAAATAATTAGTGACACTAAATGAAAACGTTAAAGATAAATGTGAGTAGACAGCTCTTGGTTAATAGTTTTAAAACAGCATACCAGTACCCTATATGCTCCTTGAGTAAACTATCCATCGCGCAAAAAATTTGCCAGCTATCCACTGCAAAGCTGTTCAGCTTTATTTCAAACGCTTCCCGAGAGTTCACCATGGGCCCACTATGGGCCGTACATTAACATCTGTATCAAACTGACCCCACCCCCTCCTTTCTAGTCACATTGGTGCGAGCTAGATCTCCTGCTATAAGCAGGCACCAACCTGCTGTCCTCCCTGGAACACCCTGCTGTCTTCAAGCAAAAAGGTGTTGCATCAAGCCAGGAACCTTCCTTATTATGCATACCTCAGAGAATTTCTCTGTAACGTCCAGAGGTGTCTCAGGGAGAACATTTGCTCCAAACAATCTGAACTGTGGTCACCTTACCTGATAGATTTGGCTACTTACAACTTCATCCTCAACCCCAACATAGAATTTAAGTTATAGGGTTGCATTTTTGACACAATGGAGAAAATCCAAAGAGCATCACAAATGCGCACGTGCAAGCAGTATTAAAGATTTCAAGTTGAAGTGGAGAATCTCAAAAGATATGTAGCCTTTATGCTACTAAGATTGCTATGATATGAACTTTGTGTTATACATATCCTCCTGAGACCCAGCCTATTCACTTATGTTCTCTGTAATGGAGGGTTGTTTTTGGTCTATATCTTTTGACTTATTTGAACTACCCTACTATGTCCTGATGTACTGAATAGAGGACATCGTGGCCTTTCCAATGATATCTCATGTGCTTGTGTAACCTCTTTTAGCTCCAAAGAGGCAGGATATCACACAAAAAAAAGTTAAGCTAAAAGAGACTTTATTGTTTGGTTCTCAGGAGGGTATGATCAGGAACTGTTTTTTTCTAAAAACTCTAATTGAAATAATTTTACAGAAAGTATACCTGCTGCCTAAAACAGTTCTGGTAATGGCAGACTCTGAGATCCTCAATGGAGGAGCCTTTTGCTACAAACAGAACAAAGGTTGGTATAAAAATATATTTCTTTTGTAAACTGTATACTTCCCTTAAGGCACAACTCTCTCATACATTATTATTGACTTAACTGCAAGGTGCAAATGCATAATCCTCTAGGAAAGCAGAAGTGTCTTTACAACATATTCTATAAATAAGTACTTCTAATAAGAGCTTATTTTAGTGTCATTTTGTAACAGTAAGTCTGTTTGTATAAACATTTGCAGGCTAGTGTTTGTTTGGCATCTTTAATTACCTGCCATACTTCCTTGAAATGATATTTGAGGTGCACCTATTCTATCCATATAGACAACGTTGCACATGTTTTTTAGAAGCGTTTGTTTGAAGAGAGCATACAGAGAACATTGTTATTTGAATTCTAGAAAACTTTAAAACTGTTGCACCCTGAACAGTTTTTGGAGGGTGAAAAACCTGCCCAGTTTCTTAACCCCTTAGCAGTCCTACAAATTTACAATTAGTCCCCTAAACCATCCAATGTACCGTGGGCGGTACGTCCGACTGCTAACAGGTTAAATGAAGCTGTTCAAAGCATCTTAGATAACTTAATTACAGTTCTTTTATGGATTTAGGTCCACTATCTTCTGTCTCCTCTCCCATTAGTCACACAGGCCTAGAGATCGCTTGATGCCAATGGCAACCTTTCCCGTCCATAGGGAAAAACTGTGTATTCCACAACAGGTTGGCGTGTGATTGCTTGCACTCACTGGGTGAAATTGCACCACAAACCTTGTTGTGATTGCCCTAGTTTGCATGGAAGTTGTGCATTACCCCTGAAACCAATGAAAATGGTGACTTTAACAGAGAAAAGCATTTCTTTTTATGGTTTGTGTTACAGTTTCACTACTGCCTGGTAAGTATTTTGGAAATTCTGACAGACAAGTCTTCGTCTTCTATGCAAACTACTACTACTGCGACTACAGTAACCTGCTAGTCACCAGAACAATTACAACAAGGTTTTTGGAGCAGAGCTGTTAACTTCTTTGTGGCCAATTTTATGATAGCGAGTGTCAAGAACTTTCAGCAACCATTCACCAACTAGTTGTGGAATACATTATTTCACTGGTGACTGCTGGTTATCAGGAGGGGGGTCACTGACTGACTGGTCTCTGGGCTGCCATAAACAAGGCTTTAAAGACTTGATTTGTTTTTTTTGTTTTTTTAGCGACTGCTAGCAGTCTCCCACAACTACTTGCAACTGGTTGGGGAATACACATTTTTCATTAGCAGGTGGTGGTCACTAGGGGAAAAATGTTTGCTGTGTGACTGGATCTTAGAAAAAACTATTTTGATGCTTACTTATCTTTGTTAACCAAGGCTTTTTTCCTCAGGCTCCGTGCACACTCCTGTAAATGATAGTATATGATGTGTCACTTATATGGCATCCGTAGTGTTTTCGTATTGTTTATTATTTAGTCAAATCAAAAATTCATTTTATGATGGGATATTCTAAATAATATTAATAGACTAGTCAGTTTATAATCTGTGTACTATTAAGGAGCAATTTCAGCGGTGTCAAACAAACTGGACACAAGTCAGGACTTGTTTACGATGAAGTACAAAAAATAAAAAGCCATATCAAAAACAATATAAAGCATAATAGAATAAAACATAAACCAGCGAGTCAATTAAAATCTTATCTGTATAAATAAAAAATGTCTTCAGTTGTTTTTAAAAGAATAAGTAAAGTCTGTACAGTGTAAATGTAGTGACAGAAAATTCCACAGACTTCCACTGCCTGAAAACCCAGATCCCCAAAAGTTTTGAACAACAAGGTGGGCAAAGAGCCCTGCAGCAGAGCAGTTGTGGACTTGGAGACTCTTAGTCCACTTTGTTGCTATGGCTAATGCTTTGTCATTCAGACTGTATGTTTGGAATCGTCATGCTATAAAACAAAATGGACATATATCACATGCTGCCCTAATGGTATTAATCACAACGTAAAGTGTTTCCACAGTAGTACACTTGTGTGGCCTTTCTTCTCATTAACATGTTTTTTTTCCCCACTTAAGCAAAAAAGAGTCGCAACAGTCTCGACGCAGAACTGAACGAGCTCTTCCCCAGAGGCTGTGATGTCATGGGCGTTGCTACACCAGGAATAGTCTGTAAGTGTTCCTTATTTCTGTCTCTCATATTTCTTCATTTATGAGGAAGAAAATAAAATTTCCCCCTCAAACCAAAATAAATCATGTGATTTGATATAAAACAAAATTATTTTTAATGAGTTTCAAAGCTATCATGATACAAATGTGGCTTTTGGTTAATATACTACCATGCTCTAAATATGAAAGCTAACCACTTTTCAAGCATATTCAAGGAGAATACTTCATATATCAGCAGGGAGGACTCGCATTAATCCCCACCACTGCTGCCTAGTTAGAAAGTACCACTGGTGGCTTGCATCTCTGTGCCTCTCTCGCTGATAGATTGCCTAGTCAGCCTGATGCTGTGCTCCCCATTTCTCTATATAATCACAACCCTCTGCAGAAGTGACACTCCATCAGCCATGTTCTCTTTCCTCAAGATGATGGCTTATCAGGCTCCCATCGTCTATCAGGTTTAATGGAAGCCTCAGCCGTTTGTGATAACACTCGCATTTTGTGATATAGTAGCCTAAGGTCACCACAGGGTCAACACGCCCAGCTAATTCAACTAAATTAGATCTTTAATCAGATAAGGCTGAGAGTTTGTGTAGTAACACTGCCCAGATTACAGCTAGTTATTTATCCGTATTGATAAAGATGCTGATTGTATGAATTACAGAGATGACACATGCAGTATTCTTTCATTCTTTATGAATACTGTTTGTAACGCAATAGAAGATCAGAGTAAAGTGCATGGTGAAGAAATTTGTTTGCTTTCTGTTCGAAATGCTGAAAGGGTTTCTGTGATGTACAACTGAGCTCATACACCGTTTGTTTTGCTCAGCAGCACTAAAAGTTTTTTTTAGGATTGGTGAATGAGGATTCCTCTTTGTGTAGTGTTCCTGTGCATTTATGGCAGCACAACGTCATGTATTTGCATGGAAACACATCCACATGTCCCTTTGATTCATGTTTTTTAAATCAAAGTTTTTGAAATAAATTTTTGTTGGTTTGGTTCTATGTTTAAAACGGTTCTCACCCCTGTAGCACACACCCAGTTCAGTGCTGAATCCACTACCAGCTGCAGTTCCTCTCATAGCCACTAGATGGTGACTCTTTGAAACTTTAGATACATTTGGTGAACTTCTCACTTCAAATGAAAAATGAAAGAGATTTTCCTTGAGGTGGCTTTAGTTAATTTCTTCTTTGGTTCTATTGATGGTAATATCAATTGTCAAAAACTGTAAAGCTTTAAGGGTTGTTTCCTTCATTAGTAGGTCACCACTGGTTTCCTCTTGTGTCATACCTCTGCTCAATATTTTTTTTCTTTTTTAAACATTTGAGTTTTCAGTACATCTATAACTAAGTATAAGGATAAACAATGCTGCTGATGCTGGTTAACAAATAATCCATTAAAACATGCATAAAAACTTATACTTTTATGGTGCTTCATGATTGGCTCTCTGTACAGTGACACCCAGCGGCTCTTGCGGCAACCCTCCCCAGGAGTACCAAGATGGGGGAGCTGGCTTTGCAATCATGCTTCCAGCTATTGAGGGTGTCCAGATCCAGCCTTTTCACTTTTGTAAGAGAACCATCTCCCCGACAGCCCTTAAAGAAGCAGGTAAGCATCGACTACCTGCTTGTTAGGTATTCAATAATATAAACTTCAATAAAATCTTTAATGTTTTGTTTTGTTATTTCTTTCCAGGACTAGTTGACAACCCAGAGCTACGTGTGATACTGATTTTCTTCTATGAGGCATATAAACCAGGAGGCGCACGCTTCCTTAACCAGATACTAGAGCCGCTTTCGAAGACCAAAGCTCTGATTGCTGGAGGCCTGGTAGAGAATGCCTTCGCTCCTTCCAGATACTGGTGAGTTAATTTCCCGAGTGTAAACTAGATATTTTATGGGGTAAATGTAGTGGATTTCCTGCAAATATTTTTGGTCTGATCCTGTGGTAGTTTATCAAATGGTATTTCAGTCTGTATATGGAAAAATACAAGAGTATAATTGACTGCCCCCACTCAGAGACAACAATCACGATCTACTGCTACAGGGTAAATATTAGCTGTTCAAAACAGAAGTTTGACATCTATATTTCTCCATTGGGTATCTCCTTTATCTCACTACCAATAGGATGTAATTGATTTTGATAATTAACTGGTAGTGTCTGAGGTAAATTATGAATAGCCTTTTCAGTATGCACTCTACAATACTCACACTTTCCATGATCTCTCACTCTGTAGCTGTAGCCAGGGTTCATATGGTGTGATAGGCCTGGCCCTGAGTGGGCCTAAAGTTCAGGGGGCATCTGTGCTGTTGGAGGAAGACGTCATCAGCGCAAAAGCGGCTGAAGCCACAATCCGACGACTAAAGGCAGCCAAAATTCCAGAGAAAAACACCCTGGGATTTATGTTTGCCTGCGTGGGGAGAGGCCAGAACTACTACAACAACCAGAGCAATGTCGAGGCAGATGCTTTCCGCAAGGTGTTCCCCAACACCCCGCTCTTTGGGCTGTTTGGAAACGGCGAGATTGGCTGCGACCGAATCATAAAAGATGACTACACACTGTGTGACACTGACACGGACAACCTGCAGCACGAGTACACTACTGTCATGACCCTGGTCCATCTAGGCTGAATGTCCCGCAGCAACGGTCAACACACAGGATGAAAGATGACACGTCATGCTTTTGTTTGTAACAGCAGTCGAGAGCAACAAACATTGTGTACAGAGTAACGGTACAGCATAGAAGAATATCGCTGTCACTATTTCTACTCATAAAGACGAACAGTAATCTTTTTAACCCTCAGTGTAATGGCAGCATGTGGCATAGTATCCCTTGGAGACTGTGTGGAAACCCAGGCTTTATATTAAAACCAGTGCATTCATACAGTTCAAACATAACAATACAAACTCGGAAGAATGTGATATAGCACATTTAATAAAATGCAAGAAAAAGGGCCCCTATTATGCTCACTTAGGAACTGGAATGTTTACTTTGTATCTGAAGGAATTGGCTCACATGCACTATGAAGTGCTGCAGAACTGTTTCTTACCTCATATCTTTAATAGTTTGTTAGGAGAATCCCAGATGGTCCTGATTGGTCAGATGGCACTATGAACGTGAGGGCGTGCTTAGTACACACAGAGCAACATAAAGTATTAGCCACATTATGAAGAGGTTCTGACATTCTTTGTGAATGATCATTTTATATGTAAATAACTGAAATCACAACACATCTGTTTTCTGTAACTTGCGTATGTAAATGCTTTTTTTTTTTCTTTTTCAAATTGCTGCTATAGCATCAGTATTTTAGCAGTGCAGTACGACTAGCTGAAAATTACTTTGAGAATTCCTACTTTACTTGATGGGCTCTGTTTGCATCACACTTTCATATTCACTTTTGTTATATGGCAGCACAACCAGAAAAAATATGGAAAGGATTTAATCTTATTGGGATTTGTAGCCATCATTGGATCATTTGGTGCACTTTGCTCATGGTTAGCTTAGCTGGGTCAGACAGCCAGGCTGGTACTGTGTCACTGTGCTCCATAGTGATAGATAAGTCACTGAAGAAAGCCTGGCCTGCAAAGGAGAAGTTTCAGGAAGTTCAGTAGGAGTGTTTTCTATGGGAACGTGTAACTCCCGGTAACTTTGAAAACCATTATATACATAAAAAGACAAACAAACAAAAAAACTTGGGGTATAATTGGGGCACTTTAATATTCATGATTCTGCAAATGCACTTTTAATTCATGTGATGACTCTGGGCCTTCCTCAAAACATCCAGCCATGGTTTTACACATCTGTCTTACCAATGGATAATGTACACGCCACTGTAGCCTACAAGTTCATACTGATAGGTTTCACAATTATTGAATTGGGTCCAGAAAATACAGTTTGTCTCCCCCCCACCCACCCACCCACCCTAAGTTACATCTGCTACTACCTGCTCCCAGCTGTTGGGCTTAAAGTCACATCAGCTAACTAAGCTCCTAGAGAATGGGACCAAATAGCTGCCCTGTTGGGTGTGCAAGTGACACCTACTTACTTTTAGTATTGGCTCTCCTGCACTTTCTGACTTTATAAAGCAGGTGTTGATGGTTGGAAATAATTGAAGAAATGTGAAAAGCTGTCAGAATTGTACAATACTTTAGGATGCTGTAATGTTATACACATCTTGGCTTTTTCCTCAGATGGCCCTGTCTTTTAATACATTCTCTGGTTGCTTTGAAAAAAAAACCCAAACTGAGATAAAGGTGCAATTTCCAAGTTATAATGTGTTTGTCAGGTAGTTGTACGTTGAAAAATGGCTTACGTTTTCTGTAAAAACTGCAATGATTGTAGCAAAAAGTGGATGTTTTCAAGAAATGTACATTATTTTTTACTTTTTGAAAGACTTTATTTGCAGCTTAGTTGATGTGTTTCTCTTTTTGTTCATTTTCCCCCATCTTTAATCGTTTTTGGAGAAGAAATTAAACTGAATCTAAATGGCTTAATGAACAAACTTGTTTTGGTGTTGAAGTTCTTTTCTAAATGTGCCAAATCATATCTCTTTTGCTCATCTCAATAAATTACACCCAAAAACAATATAAATAGATATCTGTTATCTTGTTTTCTTAAACCCACTATTTTTGAACGCACTGTGAATCTTTGAAAGACAGCCTTTGAGCCCACTGGGTGCTAAGCATCCGTCTTCGGTTGTAACTACAGGCTAACTACAGTTAATTTAGATCACCGGTTTTCGTTTTTTGCGCACACCCTGAAATTGCGCCTCAGCCTATAACATCTCCAGCAGCCCACGTCCAGGCGTGTTTAAATAAAGGAAGAGACGCTTCAGTCTGATTGATGTGCGCTTTAACCATCGACTGGCTAATCCCGATGAATGACAAACGGTTAAGCCAATTGCTGTAAAGGCAATTTATATTCCCATAGTATCTTTATTTTGGGAAACCATAAAAAACGCTCATGACACGGAGAGGGACGACCAACCAGGCGTAAAGCTAATAAAATCATCTGTGGCGATAATCCGCTCTCAAATTGGCCTCATTCGGGAATTGAGAAAAATTACTCTCAGGCTTTCTTTTTCTCTCACACATACATACATACACACGCACGCGCGCGCACACACACATCCACCCCACGGCCAACATTTTTAGACTGCTATGTCGTGACCGGAGCGATGCAAATGTCACACGATTCGCTGGCTACTGTCAGTCTACGGAACAAAAACGTCAATGTTTTGGTGGCCTTTGGATGAAATTCGCTTCGCGTTGCCCGGCTGCAGCTGTGGAAGGGGGTCGTTAGAGACCCGAGGCTTCATCGGGGCTCGCTTCAGCACCTGGACAGCTCCCCTCGCAGGGTTCCCCGCTCCGCTCGCCGGGGAAACCCTCGGCTGGGGAGCGGAACCTGGATCTGGATCTGGATCAAGCCTCATCAATCTCAGCGAGGAGGAGGCTGCACTTAAAGGGCCGTTATTTCACCGCTCTGATAACAATTACAGCTAATATGATCTTGCCGAGTGACGATGCTTCTTGCATTTGAGCTTCAGCCCCTCTTTGGTTTTGCACTGAAATCCGAGCAGCGGAAGCAGCAGCAGCAGCAACGGCGGCGGTGGTGGTGCTCGTCCAATGCAAAAGTGCTAAGGATAGCTGCAGCCTACACACCGTGCGAGCCTGCTGCTGCTTCACTTACATTGATCACCGCCGAGAGAGACATTTCTATCAGCAAGGGGGCAGCGGGAGGCACAATTACCCGTCAACAATGTAAATCTCACACAGGTAGGTCCTTCGTGCCACATTATTCATGTAAGTGCAGAGTGGATCTGTTAGTAGTTGCACACACAACTGTCATTTAGTTTCTCTCATGACAGCAAGTGAATCAGTGCAGGTTTATATCAGGTGCTATTATTACTCTGATGGAGCGTGGGAAGTCTGACATGCTTCCAACTCTGTTGGAGTGCTAAATATTTGAGAGAGAAGAGAAGATAAAAGCTTTATGACTGAGCAAAAGTTTACTTTTGCACAAGTTTTACTGTGTATTCTTTTGAGATTCTGCTAGTCTTTTTTTTAAATAACCGCACAAAATGTAGACTTCAGATTATTAATATTTATAAATATTATAATCTGATTGCCACTTTTGAAAACTTGCAGGCCTTGCACAACAGATATTTATCACTATGTTGTGAAGAAGCTTAATTTGGAAAGCCAGTTTGATACACTATCAAATGTCAGATCACTATAATAAAATGTGTTGGCCACGAGTTATGTGTTGGAAGCAAGCTGCCAAATTTCAAAATTTTCCAAGGCATTAAAGAAAGACGACAATTTAGAGTAAGTAAACTGTAAATAAATTAGTGCACTAAAATTGTGACAGTGTTAAAACTGGCATTATTAGAGTGTTTAACAGTGTGCGTGCACAATTTCGAAATTTGAGGTGTGGCTGATTTTACATACATTTACACTTATATCCATAAGTTGTTAAAAAGGATACTTGCATACTTTATGTACTGTACTGTAATGAATGTATTCTTCTCAGGGTTCAGCATGAAAGCAGCATCTCTCAGGTGGGAAGTTGACCTGCAGCACTAAAACAGACAGAAGTGAGTGGAAACCTTTTGACAACCTCCACCACATCTCTATCTCCTCCATCACCCAGGATCATGGCTAATTCTGAGTAAGTACAGCGTACACACAATTTTGACCACTGATTGATTTTTTTATTTTTTCCTCATTATCTGTTAAATTTGCAAACTGGTATACCAAAAAACTGAACTCCTACACATTTCCTGTCTTAGAAAAACCCCAATCAAAGTGTCATTAAATGACAGAAAAATAATCATCAAAAACGATACACTGTGTCAGCTGGACATAAGACTTTTTTTTAATCACTCTTCCTTTTTCTTCTTATTTTCCCAATGTGCCCATTTTTTATTTTATTTTTAATTTTTAGATTTCCTCTTTTGCCATTTCCCGGTTTTCCATCTCCATTTCTACAATAATGATCTTTATTCACTCAGACACTGCGCCCGTTGAGGTATCTCTGACCCTCCTCACTCTGAATGCACAGGCACATGCTGAAATGCAGATTCATGCAAACACACCTGCACAATGCTGACTGTAGAGCGTCTGTTCTACAACCTTAAACGCAGGTCACTATGTTAATATCTTCTGTGGAGCAACATCCGCTATATTCTTGATTGTGCCCCGTGACCATTACAAATAACCACAATTCTTTCAGCATACATCTCCACCCCCAGTTTTCTCCAAGCTTTCCCTTTTTAATCTTCCCTCTTCAACCTGTGTACTAAGAACAGCTGATGCATTACTGAGGGAACATGCTGTAGCCTGTGTGTATGTTTTGAATGTGTGAAGGCAAAGTAAGAGATATGGGAGAATGCTGAAAATCATTATTCTGTGTCACTTCATGATTCTGCTGGTAGTATGACTCTGTAATTTGTTTCATTGTAACCAACTGCATTTATTCTCTTGACCTAGATGAATAGCTCTAAAGCTTTGCTACATTTGCGCTTTTTTGAGAGAACCGGTTCTGCTGATGGTCCCATATGAAGCACAGCTCAGCAGCTCTCAGTAGCAGTGCTGTCTCATGTTGTGTTTAAGGTGAAACGCATCCTAAAACAGATGACTGTGGCCCACATTTGCACTCGAAACTAATGATTACGCAGTATGTTATAGGCAGAACGAAAAAAATTTAATATTTTTATTGCTCTTAACATCCAGCCACTTGTGTACTATTCACCACCTCATCTTAATTTTTAAGGATGAGATGTCACCGGATTTTTTTACATTTATGTTTCAGGCAAATTTGCAAGGCTGATTCTACATTAGCACATCTTTTCAGCTTCATAACAATTTGGTTTAAGTTAAAGCGAAATTTAAAGCAAGCAGTAATTATAAAATACACAAATTCATATATAAAAAAGTAAACCCGATAAAAACCAAAAACTTACACCGAGAAAAGCACGGAGAAGGGGAGAGACAGCTCATGATCCAGAGCATACCACATCATCTGTCACATATGGTGGAGGCAATGTTATAGCATAGGCTTGTATGGCTGCCAGTGGATCAGGGTCACTATTGTTTACTGATGTTATGACTTAGGATAGAAGGAACAGGAGGAATTCTGAAGTGTATAGGCTATACTCTCTGCTCAGATTCAGACAAATTAGGCTTGATTGGACTGATGGGATGCCACTTTGCAGTGCAGCTATATAATGACCCAAAGGATACTGCAAAAGCAACTCAAGGGTTTCTTAAGGCAAAGAAATTGGCTATTCTTTAATGGCAAAGTCAGTCACCTGATCTCAACCCAAGAAAGTAGCTTTTTCGTTATTAAATACAAAGCAGAGAGCAGAAAGACCCACAAACAAGCAGCAACTGAAGGTGGCTGCGTCATCCTAATGGAGGAGATCTGGTGGTGTCCATGTGTTCTTTCCTCAGGCGGTCATTAACTCTCTCTTAATCCGAGTGTAGAAACAATCCTAAATATTAAAATTATGTTAGTTTGTCTAACAAATATGTACATAAATGTACTAAAAGTTCCATAATTTCTAAAGACTTGCTGTATTTCGTTCTTACGCCCCTTGAATTGAAGCTAAAAGTGTAATCTAGTTACTTACTTTCCACCACAGCTTTATTTTTGATGCAGTTCCATATTTTCTCACCTAACAATGCTCGAGGTTTGTAGCTTGACTGAAGCTTTAGAGAAAGATGTGCTCATGTTCACAGAGTCTCACTTTGTGGAAATAATTTATACAGTAAACTACATTTTAGTTTAGATTTTCCCCTTTGGAACTTTGAGGGTTCCTTGAAGCTCGACGGGACCATTCATCTTTCTCACCCCATTGCTGTTTACACTGATGTTAATGCAGTGCTAGTGGGAGGTTGGAGAGGCTGTACAGTTTTTCTTTTTTAGTTTGGAGGGTGGGAGTTTATATGCTCATCATATCTTTCTGGGCTATTGGAAGAAACACTGCCTTTGACCTTATAATCCCTTCATTCTACTATACTGATGTTATATGCACCTATGCACAATAACAAATCTGGGTCATGGAATCTCCATTCACATGGTGCATTAATTGTTCCTGTAAATATGGTTCACCCCTTGCAATTTAAATACAACACAATAAAAAGACACAAGTGTTTCTTCTGTTTTAGCTATACTTCATGAACAGGCGACACATCAAATGCACTCCTATGATTTCTCTTACGTTTGGCAGTGCAGAAGAAACCACTGTTAAAATCAGCTTTACGAGTCTACAGAACTCCGTGTTTCCAGCCTTTAAAGCTTTCAAGACCAATTTTCCTTCAAGTGTCTGTAGAAATTAAAACAATCTATTATTGGATACTGACACAGTGTAAAAAGGTCCATGGACCTCTCCATTATGAGGGAGACATCTGCTGTCTTAGTCCTGCCCCACAAGGGTCTCTGTGTCTCCCGTGTCTTCTGCTGCTTGTATCTGTAAAGGTCAGATAAGAGACTGGTCACAGCAGGGCCAGAACAGTCCATTGTGCAGTCTTCCAATTCATCATAGGTTAATCTGCAATATTATTAATGAGCTAATGTGCCTGGCAGACTTCATTAATATCCACTGGCATGAAATTATGCAAGTTTTTCTGGAAGTTGAATTGGGTTTTCTAGGAAATTACCCAAGGCAGTTTGTAAATTCTGCAGAAGTGACAGGTACTACAAGCTCGACGTTTTGTTAAACACCAAGATTTGTTAGCAAAGTTGCTGCTTTGAAATGACTGGTGGCTGTTGGCATTGTTGTTTTGGAAAGGCTTGAATGATGCCAGAATCATAAATTCTGTCTTTCTTTTTCCTTATGCATATTACTTTGTCTGTGAGTCAACATTAAAAATCATCATTAGACCTTTGCTGTCTTGGAAGCAAAAGCCTATATTGTGTTGTATTTAGTATGGAATATATTTTATGTAGACATATATATGGTTCAAGTATTGTGTCTTACTACAGGACATAACTTGTGAAATACTCTACAGCTGGCTGTTCCAGACTCATGTGAGATGATGAGTCTGTAACACTAATACACAATGATGCCCAGCTTCTCCAAAGTTCTCCACAGCAGCTGGTGAGAGCAGTGAACATCTGCTTTTTCTTCAGTGTTCTGGCCAAGTTTGGGAGTATTTTAGATCCTCAGGCGTTGGCCTCAAACAACCCAGTCTAACATGTGTGTGTTGATCTTGTAGTCCACCGAGGCCATAAACTGAGTGGAGTGTGGTTCTGTATAAAATGCGCCTGGATGTTTATATATTTTCTCTACACCCCCAGACTGTGTATTTGCAAAGCTGCCACTGGGCCTTTGGAGGGGAGGTGATAGGCAGCGTAGCACCTGTGCTTGATGTAATGTTTGCGCTGAAATGATGGCTTACAGTTTTTATGTTTCATTTTACTGATAGATGCGTATGTTTACACTGTATATCAACACAGTAAAGCACAGCAATGTTGGACATATATTTCACAAATTCCCATTTTTATGGCAACATTTTTCTCCGTACTACATACTACCTGTGCACATGTCGAATCCAATAACACCACAACACTTTATCACTGCTAATGTAGTGGTGGTTTTTCAGAACAGAGTAGATTGTATTTCTTATAATTCAGAGTTTGTAGTTGGACTTTATGATTTATTGAAGTTGCAAAAAAGTAAATGCAATTATGAAGCGAGTTTAAAGTCAAATTGATTCTAAGTGTAGGCTTCCATACATTTTAAAGCTTTTTTTTTTGCAGAGAAACCCCAAAGTCCCTCAAGCCCAGAGGTGTCCCATCTTCTATAAATCGAATTGAGTCTATTTATCTGTTTATTTTTCAAAACTTTTATGGAAGGGAAGCTCTTGAGGAACGGGACAAAGATATTTCAACAAGAGCAATTTATCTACAGCTGCATTAGCGCTTCAGTTTATGCTTTGAGCTAAATGCTGACTTCTGTATGTTATTATATGCTCACAATGCTAACATGGCATCTTAGTTTGGTGTAATAAAATGCTAACATTTGCTAATGAGCAAACTGAGGCTCATGAGTGAGACGCTTTCACATGTTTGAGGAACAACACTCTTCGGTGCCGCCGGCCCACAGTTACTTAACATGACCTTATGTTTTGCTCAGTGAAATCCCTTGAGCAGCTTTTGTCACACAACGACCTTTCATACCTGGCCCACAACACCACAATCCACTATTTAATTTTATCTGCCACCCTCAGGGAGACCTGCTCCCCTGAATATCACTCCTTTCCTGTGGGTACTCTTCTGCAGTTTGCAGTCTTGTTAGTCTTTCCATGAAATAATTTCAGAATTTTGCAATTGCCCCTTTCTGTTAGATAAGAGCGTCATGGTTATCTGGAAAGGTCAGTATTTGTATTAAAGACAGCAGAATTTTTTTTTATTTTTTGCACTTGGATAGAAACAGAGGTATATTTGCCTTTTAGGTTTTCGGGTTCATTGGATTTCATGTTAATACACTGAAGACATTACCATCTTTAATATTAAACAATTATAATAAAGCTGCAGCAAAGCGACATTTTACGCAAGGAGATAAATAAATTCTTTATGTAATATGTGTAATTATTAAAGCTGTTAAAGTCTATGATGTAAACTTAATTGGTCCACTTTTTTTTTCACTCTTCCAGTCCAGATAA